AGGCCTTTCCAGTTTCACCAGGACAGGTGGGCGAGCAAAGGCTCAGCCAAGAGGGGTGGGATTTGCTAACAACTGCCCGAGCGCCTCCGAAGGAGACCTAACAACTCAAGAGCAATTGTTTCGCGAATGAATCTACTACCGGATCGGAATCGCGACCCGCTGAGAAGATCCGGCGAGAAACTCAGCGGGCTGATGCATGGGTTAGGTTGCACGTCGACCTCTTTGTCGAGTTCGACGAGTACGGTTACCGGGGTCCCTAAGCCTGCCCCTAGTATTAGAGCTGAAGGCATCTAATGCAAAGGTTATTGGATCTGATGGATCCGTAAGGACGTGTCTAGGGCGTCGACGGTGACTGGCTACTGCATGATCAGGATTCGGGGAGTAGTCAGCGGCGGCAACGATAAGGCGATTATCATGACGCATAGCCTTATCGAAGTATCGTTCCGACGCTGACTTCATGTATTTCCGAATTGATTCGAGGCCCAGGTCGTCGTGTAGGTCAACGTTCCTCACGAACCACGGAGCCCCGACAGCTAACCTAAAAAGCGGGATTGTAGGGATTGGAGGGTGTCTATGTGTGTGCGGGCCGCGTGAGCGAACACCACACTCGCGTAAGTCATGACGGGCCTTATGCAAGTTTTGTAAAGTGTCACCTTGTTCCGAAGGGATATTTTACTCCGCTTACAGATCATGGGGGGCACCTACCGACCTATCGAGGGGTGAAAGCCTATTTGGTTTAAGCGACATTTCGCTAAATACGCGATAGTTAACTTCGTAATTAAGGGATAAGATTACTGGTTTCCATGTATCTTGCTTCACGGTCATCGTAAGGGCTCGACGAGTAAATTAACCCTCAAACACAGCCCACTGAGTTTCTCGCCGGATCTCTCAGTGGGTCGTGTTTCCGATCCGGTGGTAGATTCTGCGAAGCACGGCTCTTGCTAGGGTTCGTGTTAGCAACGTCGTCAGGTTTGAGCCCCATGAGCTCACCTCCTAGTTAAGGTTACGCTGAAATAGCTTAGCTATCAGCCTAGGTAGGAAAAAAAAAGATATCTTGCTTTGCAGGGAAGGAGGTTTTGAATTTCGAATTTCTAGCTCGTTGCGAGATCCTAGCTACAGTAATGCTTATAATTATTACAGTAATCTTAAAGTCTCGTTTCTTCCAAATTAAATTTTTGATAGAAGATAGGGAAAGAGCCTTCTGCAACACTACACTGCAAATTAATGTCAAAATGTCAAACATAACGTTCCCACAGATTACACAATACTGTACAACATAGGCTCCTATTAGAAGACGGAACTCCTTGTATTTTTCCTTGAATGTAGCTAATAATTACATCGTGATTAAATACTTACATTTCACTTAATTTTTCTGTACTATGAAGAATGGAATGCGAACATTTGTTAGATAACGTCAAATTGGAACAAATCAAAGTCGAAGACACAAAAATCACAAAGAACTTCAGTTGTTCAGGTAAAGTTATCTGAAATGCGAAATTTAATCGTTTTAAAGGATACGGTGTATTATAGTAGTTCGTCAGATAAAGTTAAAGTTATTGATCATGGAAAAGGGGAGGTTAGTTTAAAAAAATCAATAGCGTTTAACATATTTTATTAATCAGCTGTTCGTCGGTAAAGGGTGGGGGGCGCGGCATGGCTGACCGTGACTGACTATTGACTAATTATGACAAATATTTAATAAGAATAATTAAGAATTAAAAAAAAAGCCTTCCAACAACGGACTGACGCCACCATACTGCTAACAATTCAGCAGTCGATAGGCTTAAAATTTATGGCTTTAATAAATTTCTAAGTACAGTAACTAAGTAAATTGTACAGTATAGATATATTTATGTAGTACATTACTAATTTGTTTTATTCTCTTAATAAATAAATCAAGGTTACCCCCATTTTTTCTAATTTGATTCAAAAATAAGTTAATGTACTTATTAAAACACCTTATAAACACTGTTTAAATTAGTCTCAATTTTTTTTCAAAACCTGTACATTTAAAATCATGTAAATGTACAAATTAAAAGAATACATATTAAATAATTTATGGTAGTGAGGCGTTTTGTGAGTCTGCATACTTATGATATGGTTATTAGAGTTGTGGTTCTGCCTATGTCAGTCATGAAACAGTAATGCATTCCAGTTTGCTGCCAGCCAATATATTGTAACCGAGACTTACACCTTAAGTTCTCAATGTTTGTGATGGAACTCACTATGTCTATAGGCTTAGTTATCTATTAACACAAGGTGGGCCATGAGTTTGTTCAATATAATAAAGCACAATAAACAAATCCAAAAATCAAATTATCCCTTAAAAGCTCTTAATCTTAATTTATATGTACTGAGTTGCAATAGTAATTGTTTTTATAAAATGTAAACCACAGTGTAAATAGCAGCAAATACAAATATTATTTAACTATCCAAAAATTTTATTGAACAAACTGATACCTAAAGTTCATGGTGAAAACTAAAATTATAAACACATCTAATTAATTTGTTTTGAATTTTTGTACTGTATTAAAATTTAAGAATAAGAAAAGGTATTTATATTTTAGAATGTTCAGTACCAGAACAGAACTGGCTTTGCCTACATTGTGGTGCGGTGAACTGTGGTCGTTATGTAAATGGCCATGCGAAGAACCATGCTGACACACTTGGACACCAGCTTTGCATTAGCTGTGATGCTTATTCTGTATATTGGTATGTGTATCGAACTAATTCTGATTAAATAATAATATAGGTCTTAAAAAAACAATTATTTAAGATAGTATACGGGTTTTATGTTACGTTACAATACATCTTGTTAATATGAATATTAAAAAAAATCTAATATTAAAAAAAAAGACATGCCAGCTGAGTTTCTTGCCAATTCTTCTCAGGACGAAGGCTAGTTTTTGTGAATAGGGGGTAGTTCTTTTTGACGTTCAACAAGTGTGTACTTTCATTTATGTTGAATAATTTTTTTTTTATTTGATTTCATTCGATTTGTACCACACATTCGGTTCATACGACAGTGCGTGACAGTCGGTAGTGGCGGTCGTTCTTGCCGTGCGCAATAAATCATTAGCTTCCAATCAACTTTAATTTCCACACACACCTTAATACGTGACTGCAACACAATAACACATCACCTAAAATAGCAATAAACCAAAATTCTGTTATATAATAACCAAAATAAACCAAAGTTGTGTTATACACAGTCCATCCAAGTTTCCTCCTTTATTGAGGACATGTGACAGATGTGTGAGTGAAAATGTGACGTATGATAGACCTGAGTGAAAAAGAAGATATAATGTACCAACCCCACATAATCAAATATTACCAAGAAGAAAAATGTTTCCAACATGAGAATATTATGCTATTAGATGGTATTTATTATCTATCATGAACAAAATGTTTGATAATTCATTGTGAATAAGCTTTTTAGTATAGTAGTTCAGTATACCTAGTCAGGTCATAAATTCTGTCACATGTTTAATGTAAAATAATTGAAACAAGTTTATTCATTATGTAGCCATTCATATACCAAAATGAACTTAACAAAACATAGATTCTTATGACACCTAAAGTTTATTCAAAATGACCTCCGTGATTTTGAATACAGGCCTTCAATCTGCGCGGCCAGTCGTCTATCGCAGCACGAACGAGGTCCATGTCAATATCGGCGGCTGCCTTAATCAAGGATGTCTTGAGTGACTCCAAATTGGGATGAGGCTTTGAGCACGCCTTTTCCTCCAAGTGTTGCCATATCTTGTAATGTAACGGATTCAAATCTGGACTGGAGGAGGGCCAGTCTTCGTGCCGGATGAAGTCGATTTCACGCGCCGCCAGCCAGTCTTGTGTGCTCTTCGCTCTATGAGCTGGCGCCGAATCTTGTTGGAATACCCAGTGCCTGTTATTGAACATGGTATGAGAAACAGGTTCCACAAGGTTCGTCAGGACTGTATTTTGATACACAACTGCATTCGTTTTTACACCTTTCTCACAAAAATGTACCTCTGTTAAGCCCCAATAAGAAACTCCCAACCATACCATGAGCGAGGATGGAAAATGACCTCGTTGGACACGCGGAATACGGTTGCTCGCTTCTTCACTACTGTGTGCGTACACCTTATCATTTTGTTTGTTGTAGCTCTCTTCTACGGTAAAAATTTTTTCATCCGAAAAAAGAATTTCCCGATATTTTTTTCCCGCGTACCGCTTCAACAAAGCGCGGCATCTCTTCAGTCTCAGGTCCATTAGACGAGCATTCAAACGATGTCCTGTTTTTCTTCGATATGCCCGAAGCCCTAAGTCTTCATTTAACACCCTTTTCACCGTGGTTCTGCTTAACCCCATCTGAAGGGCCAACAGTTTCTGCTTACGTTTGGGATTTCTTTGAATTCGCGCCTTCACAGCTTTTATCACTGCTGGAGTCCTAACAGACCGAAGGCGACCACTTCTTGACCTGTCATCTACACTAGAGTCTTCATTGTATCGTTTGATGGTACGATAAACGAATCTTTTGGTTATATTCAAATTTTTCAGTATGTTAAAAATTTGAATTGGCGCGTAACCGCAACGATGCACTTTAATAACTGCAACACGGTCTTCTTTAAGCGTCCACTCCATATTTAAAAATGAGTAAAATTCTAAAAGTATACATTTTTATTTTCATGAACAATTCGAAATTCGAATTCAATAAACTTTTTTGTGGCCAGCATTCTAAAAGAAAAGTTTTTACTGTGTGACAATACTTATGACCTGACTAGGTATAATGTAAAGTATTAAAAGTATGTTTTGTTAAGTAGGTCTGCCAAGGCAATGGGAGTGGAAAGTGGTTTTACAAGTAACTGCTGGTTGTAAGATTTTTGAAAGCATGCATGACTAAGCTATGTGATTAATGTTTTAATTATTTTGTTTTAGTTACAAATGTGATGATTACATTATAAATGATACTGAGAACCATATAGATACAATAAGGCAATGTATTATACGGATTAGGCAACAAAATGATGAAAAACAAGACAGCACAGAAAAGCACGAAGATAGCAGACAAGATAATGATGACTGTGATGCCAATATACCTGGTTTGGGCACTGCTTCAGATGATATAGTGCTCAATGTTATTGAAGGAGATATAGCAGTGCAACCAACAAGCTCTTCTTTAGATCCTCACAGTACAGAAATTGAAAACTGTGATAGTAAATTTGATAAATGTATTAAGGTAATTTTTTTTATCTAAATATTAATATAGATAGATATATGACGGAGAGGCTGGTTCCATGGTGCTTATAAAATGATGACGTTATCGTCTATCACGCCATTCTCTTCATCATTATCATTTCATAGTGACAGTAATTAAGTTACACTTTTCCAATGAATTCCATTTATTGCATTCTAAGTGTACAGCGATCACAACAGACAGCTCGGCCTTGTTCGGCTGCTCGAGTCGGGAATGTTTTGAGCGACAATAGTCACTCGTATTTATAGTAGAACAGTGGGGATAGCTTAGTCATGAATTCTCTTGAACACCGTCTTAACCAGTTGATGACGTAATAATATTATGTAACATTAAGAAAACAACCTAATTTTCTAAGCCATTGATTTACATACGACTCATATATGTTGTTTTAGGGGACTGAAGAATCTATACGAAGTCTTAGACCAAGATCGAGGAAGAGAACTCATTCCGAGGACAGTAGCTCAACTGAAAACTCATTACAGATAAACAGAAAAGATAAAAAACGATCGCCTTCTAATGGAAAGCTTCAGAGAGAAAAAAAAGTTGTAGGATTAAAGAATTTAGGCAACACATGTTTCATGAATGCAGTTCTTCAGAGTCTGAACAATATACAAGAATTTAGTTGTTATTTCAATCAATTACCTTCTTTGGAGATGAAGGCTAATGGCAGGAAGGTGTATCATTCAAGGAGTTATACACGACAGGAGATGAATGATGTTGTAATGGCTGAAGAACTCCGTAAGGTGANAAAAGTTGTAGGATTAAAGAATTTAGGCAACACATGTTTCATGAATGCAGTTCTTCAGAGTCTGAACAATATACAAGAATTTAGTTGTTATTTCAATCAATTACCTTCTTTGGAGATGAAGGCTAATGGCAGGAAGGTGTATCATTCAAGGAGTTATACACGACAGGAGATGAATGATGTTGTAATGGCTGAAGAACTCCGTAAGGTGAGATAATTTTTTAGTTTCTGAGTAAATGTTGAGCAGTCAAATTTCCACCAAAACAGTGTGACGTTGATTTTATTGTACATAATTTAAAAATGTATAGTGTAAATGGTTAGTAAATGTATATAGATGAAAAACTAAAATAAGTTAATAGTGAAGTCGGTGTTATTCGTCCTGCTAACTAATGTCAATATTTCTATAAAGCATTTATAGTATTAATGTTTGATTTCACACAGTACAAACTAATAGTATCTTTAGTTCTGGCAGTTTATTTGACTTGTGTTTTCATTTTTACGGTAAGAGAATCCCCTAATATGTTAGATCCTCTTCCTTGATATGACAGTAAAAATGCGAGATTAAATCGTAATTAAAGTGTAATAAAAGTTTTAATTATGAATCACGAAAATCGAAGAAAATTCTATATTATAAGGATGCTTATAATAATGGAAGACCTATATCATTAATGGAGAATCAAATAAAAACATTTCAATCCTTTCTTACAGGTGTTGATAAATCTCAATACTGGTGGATGCGGTTCGAAGGGTGCTATTTCACCGGAGTGCTTGTTCCTTGTGATCTGGAAGGTGGTACCGAGGTTTAGGGGTTATCAGCAGCAGGACGCACATGAGTTTCTCAGATACATGCTGGACAGGTGATAAAAAGAATTCAGAGGAAATAATCCTATTCTTTTAAAAAATATATTAACATTTAGCACTCCTTCTCTATATTCTCTTTAAGTGTGGGAAATTTCATACTCCTCCGGCCGTGCCATTTTCGTAAAAAAGCTTTTGCTTCACATATCAATATACAGATTACACACGGAGCTGTTGCAACTGCTGCCCCCCGAGAAGCCAGAGCCCGGGTTCGTGGCGCGGCCTCCGTCGGCGTCCATCGTCACCGCCGTGTTCGGGGGAACGTTGCAGAGCGAGGTATTAGTAATTCTCTTCGTTTTGCATATCGTCACCGTCAAACCAAAAACTGCTATGTGCAAAAACTCTATTTTGAATTGACGAGTAAAAGTTAACACAAATTTATATTCAGTTGGAACAGCGCCCCTAGCGGCAAACGTAGGCAAACGTTCTAACTCCATACAAATTTAAGTTAACTTTTACGCTACCGAGAAAGTTAGAGTAAAAAAATGTTCGTATAAAATTTTATATATGAAAGTGAATTTTTACGAACTATATCAAATGAAAGCTATAGATAAAGCTATAGACACATAACAGTTTTTTTTATATACGGTAGATAGGGCTGTGAATTATACGAAAAGGTCAGAAAGTAAAAATCTCTAAAAATGCACATAGCAGATTTTAGTTTGACAACGATGATATACTACATTCCATTTTGATTTTTTTTTATAAGTATATTAGGCACACAATTCACATTTTAAGCTTAAAAATATATGATACACAACAGTTTGCATATACGGGGAATTCAATTTCCCCGGGTTTTTTTTTAATGTGTTAGGCACACAATTCACATATAAAATGTGGGCTTAAAAAAAGTTCCACTATAAAGAACATAAAGAACAAAAAGAACAAAAATTAAAGAATCTGGCTTGTAACATATGCCACGTGCGCACGAATAATCAAGATAATTGTGCTAAGTACATAAGACTATAGGATAAAATATGATAACGAAAACTAATCTAACTTATAATGTTATGAGAGTAATTCTACTCACAATAAACAACTACACTACTTTATCTACTATTAACATGGAGGATGTCTTGAACATGATATAAAAAAATTATACTCTTGTCCTCTGAGTACCCAATTTCTTCGTATTCAAAACCCATAATAAAAATATTTTAAATCTGAAAGTATGCTTGTTTGTCCTGCTTTCACATTCAAACGAAGCAACGGATGTCTTTTTTTTAATATCACAATTTTAATTCGGGAACTTAAACTTCTCCCAAAAAAACATATCATTCTCACGGGAAACTACACTGACACATTTCCTTGAAAACGCAGGCGAAGTCGCGGGTAACTGTAATAAGCTAGATTACTGTATTTTTACAATAAAATTGAGGTGTTGTTCGTTGACATATTTTCAATATTGTGCTGAATACAATGAATGTAAAATGTACTACTACAAGTAATGAAGATAAAAATGTATGATAACAATTGCGTTTTCAGGTTCGTTGCTTGGCGTGCGGCACGGAAAGCAAGAAGTACGACCCTTTCTTAGATCTCTCACTGGAATTACCAGAAGTCGGAAGAAATGATACGCCCGTCGCTCTTTCGGATTGTCTCGCCAGCTTTGTACAGGTAGGGTTCTGTAATATCATTAAAATTGACCAACATTCATTCTTCATTCTTACTGGTGGTAGGACCTCTTGTGAGTCCGCGCGGGTAGGTACCACGACCCCGCCTATTTCTGAACAGTAATGCGTTTCGGTTTGAAGGGCGGGGCAGCCGTTGTAACCATACTGAGACCATAGAACTTATATTTCAAGGTGGGTGGTGCATTTACGTTGTAGATGTCTATGGGCTCCAGTAACCACTTAACACCAGGTGAGCTGTGAGCTCGTCCAACCATGTAAGCAAAAAAAAAACATTTACTGATATATAATATAACCATCAGTTATAAGCAGATGTGCTGTAAGAGGTGTTCATTTGTGTCTTGCGTTGACTGAACGAGCAGTTCTTCCTTAATATATTATTTAAGGCTTTGAGTGATCACTGGAGTCCACTGGAGCTCGTGGAATGTTTTGGAACGAAGTTCCTTATGGGACGATGCGGAGGGGTACCCTAATCTGGAAAAAACGTCCGTAACGTAAAATTTATATTAGTAATACACACAGTGTACGACTTAACTTTGTAATAACGTACAAAAAATAACATATTTTTTTATCATTCATTGATCACGATCTCAAATCGTTCGTTTGCGCAATACACTAACACTTATGCAAACAACCGTGAATGAAGTGTACCACAATAAGTTCGCACGTTACCGAATGACCGTGGGTTGTTGCGAAACCTCCAGTTTTATTTTCTTTATATCTCGAATAGAACTTGCAATTAATATTTTTATAATATGGAACTTCGTTCCTATCCGGTGTCCCACGACACCACACATCTTTTTTTTAGAATAATGACTAAAAGGCGACATTTGTTTAACGTGAATGTTTTATACTGTGAAGGTCGAGGAGTTGGCCGACACGGAGCGGTACTTCTGCAGCAGCTGCAAATGTAAGCAGAAGTCCACTAAGCAGTTCTGGATTCGGAGGTTGCCGAACGTTTTGTGTCTACATTTGAAAAGGTTTCGGTGGCACAATTATTTCAGGTAAAATACTGATTTTTTTTTTAAATATTTTTTCATAAAAAGAATCAGTGGCGAGCAATTGGAGATGCCTATATCCAGCAGTGGACTGCTATAGGCTGATGATGACGATGATATTTTTAGTTATTATATGGTTGGATGAGCTCATAGTCCACCTGGTGTTAAGTGGTTATTGGAGCCCATAGACGTCTACAACGTAAATGCGCCACCCACCTTGAAATATAAGTTCTAAGGTCTCAAGTATAGTTACAACGGCTCCCCACCCTTCAAACTGAAACACATTACTGCTTCACGGCAGAAATAGGAGGGGTGGTGGTACCTACCCGCGCGGACTCTCAAGAGGTCCTACCACCGGTATTTGTATGGAATGGGATCGTTCGCCTACGTTTGCCGCTAGGGGCGCTGTTCCAACTGCATACAAAATTGGGTTAACTTTTACGCTATCGAGAACGTTCAAAAAGCACACGGGTATCGTAAATACGCCTTATCTTTTTGTCGCGTTTGTTTTAACGGAACATTGTTTTGTTCAGGACCAAGGTGGACACTTCGATCTCGTTCCCGCTGCGCGCGCTGGACGTGTCCCGCTTCGTGCGCGACGTGCGGCGCGCCGAGCACGACGCGCTGCTGTACGACCTCGCCGCCGTCATCGTGCACCACGGCTCCGGGTACCGTACCCAATGCGGAATTTACATTACGAGTTTATTGTCTTGCATGCTTGCAAACTCAGTTTCACGAAAGTACTTTCGATATATGCGAAAGTAATTTTAATTAAAAAAATAGTGTCGCGAAATCCACAGTATCGCAGTAACCATGGCACCATCAGCATCAAAGCTATATTTTGTGATATTCAATGTAGCTGAAGAAATGCTTATATACCTAAATACTTTAGACTTTAGAACTCATATCTCGAGGTGGGTGGTGGAATTTACGTTGTAGATTGTCTATGGGCTCTGACAACTGCTTAACACCATGTGGGCTGTGAGCTCATCCACCAATCTACCTCGTGTCTCGAGATGACGCGAGGTGGGCCATGAGCATGTTCACCCTAATAATAATAAAAATTAATAACGTCCCTATGCACTCCCCAGGGCCGGGTCTGGTCACTACACCGCGTTCGCTATTAACGAGGAGCAGTGGTTCCACTTCAACGACCACACGGTGCGCGCCGCGGACTCGCACGCCGTCGCCAGCTGCAAGCCCTACATACTCTTCTACATCCGCAGGGAACTGTCGCTGTGACACCGATACCGACCTCAATACTCACAATTTTGACCCTCGTACACTCAGATTAGTCTGTAATGGTGTAATCAAGAAGGGTATAATTAAAATAAATTGGGACCTGAGATACAAATGGCTGACTCTAAGTGAATGGAGTGACAGAGAAGGGACAAGACAAAAAAAAGTTTGAGAATCTATGTTCAAAGGTCATTGCTCCCTGTAATAATTAAGATTGTAAACACTGTATGATCGTAGTGTTGCCAACTTTTATTTTATACAGCGCGCTCAAAGATCGTTACAAGTAGCTTAAAATATATAAAATAAAATGGCTGTTAGGTATGTATGTATGCTCCCGTGACCTGTGTGCAAGTTTCTTGGGCTCTGTCCTTTTGACTTTTATTATAATATGTACATGGAAGGCTCCATGAAGGTCGCTGCTATTAAAATCTACTGAATTGCAAATATGCATTATTCTATGCATATATCGACTAGTAATTTTTTTTAAAAAACCTCATTCTCAAAACACGTTTATAAATTTTATAAAATCGTAATTCTCATCACGCATTCGTTTTTGGGAGTGATTTTTGCAAATGAGTATCCGAAATAATTTTTTGTAACGTAATAAAATATTTTTAGTCTAAACAATGAATTATGTCAGCCTTTTTTTAACAAGATGTTTTCTATTTTTTTATTAATTCGCAATAGGTCAAAATAAGTTTCGTGTTTTTTATTTTCTCGCAAATGAGGTTGTGTTTTCGATTGTGAATTCAAAGGGGATTGCCCACTCTCCATAGTGTGCTAGGCCCAAGATGGACATCAAATATTACTATAAAAATGTACTGATTCAAATTCTTAAATGTATTGGATATCTAAAAAATATATTGAAATTGACGCCACTATTATAAAAAATATAATAAAAATAAAAACTCGTTTTGAGGTTAATTTTCTATATAAATAAGTGTCGGATTGTGAGATACTTCAAGAACTTTTCTTTTCTTAATGTTTAAGATGTTCCTAATGTATTTTTATCCAATAGGGTATAAAAACACACTTAATTCTTTAAATATCTATATTTTCTTCATCTTCATACACAATTAGTATCATCTAAAAATAGCAAAGGAGAGCATATACACGGTTTTAAATCTCGGTCAGGGTAAAACCACAATTCACACAATGTTTTTTAGTCGTAGTATGAAACGTTATTGATAAAAGTAAAATAAATCGAAGAAAAATCAAAACACATCCATTTTGTACGCAAGCACAACACCACAAGCAGCAAGCGAAGTGTCAGTCAGTCAGATTAAATTCAGTGTTGTCAGTATAAAGAAAAATAATTACATGAAATTCATATATCGATTATTTTTTTAAATAACCGATAATTGATTTATATCTTAATCTTTTTTTTACGAGTACACATTATTTTTTATGTTTTTGTTTTAGTTGTACATATTTAAATAACAATACTAGTAAAGTTTTTTTTATTGCTTAGATGGGTGGGCGAGCTCACAGCCACCCTGGTGTTGCTAAGTGGTTACTCGAGCCCACATACATCTACAACGTAAATGCGCCACCCACCTTGAGATATAAGTTCTAAGGTCTCAAGTATAGTTACAAGTTAAAGTCCAATGGGTATGTCTTCGATGTTATTTTATGTGCATAAAATCCATTAAAATCGTTTGATTAATGATAATACTTAAAATGATTTATTTATATGTTTTATTTATATACTCAAAATATTTACTTCATACGTAAAAGGATTTGAAGCTGGCAATATTTTTCCCGCAAAAATAAAAATCCTTGTTTTTTCAATAGAGTTACTTTTTTTAAACTACTTATTGTAAACTATAGTGGCGCTTATTTGCAAGAAAGTAAATGCATATTTATTTATGACAAAATTAATGCACTAAGTATTTTTTCTATAATCTATTGTCCGCTTTGGGCCTAAAATGGGCCATCCCCTTTGGAATGTGTGTTTCGCCACAACGTTGACTAGCCACCAACGACTATGATGTTTTTTTTCAACAAACAAACACAAACAAGCAAAAACATCGTCAAACTTTAGATCTTATGATTAAAGTAAACTTATGATCTAATTAATTAAGAATGTCATATTTAAAAGGCTATTATTGTGTATAATTGTGACAGTTATTATGAGATGACGTAATGTGATGCGACAGTTTAATCTGCCCGCCTGGTTTTATTTACAGCTTTTTTTTCGTAATAATAAATCATGAACTGTTATTTTTGTGATTTCTACACAGTATATGTATACTCGTATTTTAATTATAATTAAAAATAATTTTAAAGGCGCCGTAGAAGATCCAACAGATTGAAATTTTTAATGAATCCTTTACGATATTTCTACATAGTAAAACAGAGTCGCTTTCTCCGCGCTTTCTTTCTTAATCTCACCACTGATTTTTATGTTGTTTTCACCAATCGATAAACGAAGAAGTTTTATTTAAACAATAGGTCAATATTTTGGCACATCATGCTTCACTCTAATGGCGTTGTTATGAAAAAAAAATATTTTTCGCGCGTTTACTTGGCTCACGCTGGCCAAATCGAGAAGGCTAGTTTTAAATAAATGATAACATTTTCAGTTCGAAAATAAGGTCGATTTATCCAAGAGTGTTCAAACAATAATAAACGTTGCGTAACACCGGTGCGTGTTTCGTTATGGGATATATATTATATTTTGTTGCCGAAAACAAAGGTCTGATTGTTTTTAAGACGTACTTTTCTGCACCCTTTGCCTACACCAGCGGTCGGGGAACTTTTTTAATTATTACCCCAAAATATTTTTGAATAATATTGAAGAACAAAAAAAAACGAAATCGCTTCTTTTTAGTATCTTTCATATTACAGCCCCCATGATAATTTTGAAAAGAAAACAATAACAAAAAATTTAACGATTCTAAAGAAGTATCACTTCAATATATACTTTTTACTCACAAAAGTTTCATTTTTACCCCCCAAAATTTCATTTCAAAAAGTCGTTGACCTCTGCTTGTTTTTCACCTGAACTTTAATAAGATCCTAGTGAGATTTTTTATCTAAATAATAAAACACGAATGCTGTCAATATCGACGGCGCATATTTTGAATTATTTAGATATAATGGTGTATTTTTATAACAGCTGTCGACTGCATAGCGTTGTATATTGGCATCACACGGTACTGCTTCAAAGACATGCATATGCAAGCTTCCCTTTCGTTAGTAACATTAATAATTTAATATATGTATTTTGAAGTTCCTTACGAATCGGATATTAAATGACGTATTAATCGCGCGTTTATTAAATACTTTTGCTGTTTCACATCTATACAGTTTTTAATTGCGTTATTAAACTGTGCAAGGATTCTAATCCTATATTATATTGAGATTTTACAAATTAGCCAAAAAGGTTTTCAATACAAACTCTTCCGTATTTGGAACTTATAAATACTTATTAAAAATATAATATCCTACGAATACTGTAAATGCGGACGTCTGCATGGATGGTTGGATATTTCACGGAAAAAATACTCACCTACGGATTTTGATGAAATGTCACGATGTATTAACAAATTAAGACATAGGCTATATAAAATAGTACGATCAAAGTATGGTAGGTGGCGCGCGAGTAGTTAGAATTTAAAGTTTATCGGACAACAATAGTCACAGCGGAGCGTAACCTAGTCTTGAGTTATATATTTATGGAGTCCTTCATTAATTTTCGAATAGATTTCGTTTAAAATAATGTACAAATCAAACATTGTTCGCAGATTTCGTTCATTAATAGCAAAATTCCAAAGCTATATGCAGGCAAAGTTAAAATAAGGTTTAAAAAAATATATTTCACGTGTTTTACAGAAAAAAGTACTCTAATGTAAATGAAGGCACAAATTTTACGTACAGATTAGCGTCTAATGCAGTATGGAACCGAAATTTAGTACCTAGGTAGCACAGAATTTCATACGAGCCTCTCCGATCTATAAAAGAAAAACAAAAACCAACATATACGTTTTTAATATCATAATAAGATAGTTACATCTTACGAGTATAAAATATGATGAATTGATAAAAATGCCTTAGATACAAAACTATCTACACGCCGAACAAACTTCAAAATGTTGACAGTTGACATTAAATTCTACTTTTTAGATAGGCTATTACTGCAAGACGGTTTCGTAGTCGCTTTGCTGATCGTGGATTTAACAATTTATACCTAGTGTTTTGTTTCTCAATTGGACTTACTTTTTAAGATTCGACTTTTTTATTACGCCTCTTACATTCCCATTGGTTTTTTCTTTACGCGAAAATGTATTACGCAAAGAGAAAACGAGAATTGTGTGTTGACATGTTACGGTGAACCTTGTGTAAATAAAATCGGTTTTTTGTTTCGTGATTGTAGTCTATATCAAAACCGAAGTAACTTTATAGAAAAAAAAATACAGATTAGTTTTGTATAAGCAACATCGATTACCGGAATTTAGTGTTGAATTTAATAAATTCGCCAAAATAAAATAAAAATGTTGTTTTCTTTATTTAAATTTATTTATTTCCAGCATTTAAACCAATTAATGAAACGCGTAAAGCACGATTTTACGCAAAGAGAAAACGAGAATTGTGTGTTGACATGTTACGGTGAACCTTGTGTAAATAAAATCGGTTTTTTGTTTCGTGATTGTTGTCATATCAAAACCGAAGTAACTTTATAGAAAAAAAATACAGATTAGTTTTGTATAAGCAACATCGATTACCGGAATTTAGTGTTGAATTTAATAAATTCGCCAAAATAAAATAAAAATGTTGTTTTCTTTATTTACATTTATTTATTTCCAGCATTTAAACCAATTAATGAAACGCGTAAAGCACGATTTTGTTTCTACGTTACTAAGTGATAATTGTGGCGTTAATTGTGTTTCAGTTATTGCTAAATATTCACCCCATTGCGCGGGCCTAAGTAATGCTGCCGCGTTTCTCGTCCATAGCATATCTTGTTTAGTCACTTTACTATCAATGTTAACACCGCAGTTGAGATTATCCTCTTCCATATTACTTAAAACAAAATCTGTAATCGCGGCATTATTGTTTTTGTTCTCTTCAATAATCCAGTTGTTGCATTCTAACTTTTCGATTGGATCAGTAATTTTGTCCTTTGTAAATGTGCGTTCCATAGTTATTTGCGGTTTCCGTAAACGCTTTCTTTCGATTCGCGCTTCATCTGTGCCGAAATCTTCATGAGACGTGGTACTTTCATTGAAAGGTTCAATTTCTTCGTGGATTTTTGCAAGCTTATCATCCCTGCTAACTGTTGAGGACGTAAAAATAGACTTGAAGTGTAATTTCTCGTCTAAACGCTTTTGGACTTCTAAGTTCGGATTCGCAGCAGTGGAAGTTTGTTTATCTTGTTTTTTGGGGTGAGAACGTAATTCTATGTCACCAACGAATTCTGTACATCTTCTACGGCTTCTTCTGTTAAATCGTGGCGACAAACCCATCTGAGTAATCAATTTTCTAGATTTTTCATTACTGCCATCGGAATCGCCGGTATCTTGATCAGGGAACCAACTGTTAAATGGTTTCTGTAAAGAGTTGCATACGTTTAACATTTCGGGCCTAACGGGTTCTGTTACCTCTGTGAGTGTAGAGAGAGTTTGGCCTAATGTCAGATTCAGTCTAGGAACGTACGTGGTTGGAATCGGTGACGGCAGCCTAGATGTTTCTGTACTGCTGCTACTTTTAGTCAAATCGTTAATATTAAAATCGCGAGTACTAGAG